CTACAGACATGGAGAAAACTTAACAGACCAACCATGTTACATACACAAAAATTGCCAAGTCGGTTACAGGCAAGCGAATAAAATTCGAAGGAGAAATAATCGTGAAAACTTAAGATATACGTCATGAAAGATACTGAAAATCTAGTAGGTATCGACTGGATGCAAAAGTTCAACGTTTGGGATCTACCTATCAGCTCTTTTTTTTGAAAAAGTTAGAGGTTGAACCATCAATGTATAAAAGTTAAAGGAAGAATTATATAACCAATTTCCTGAAGTATTTTCGAGCGGGTTGGGACGATGCAACAAATTTGAGGCCAGAACTGAATTAAAAGAAAATGTCCAACCAGTTTTTAAAAAAGATGCGAAACGTACCGTTCGCTACTATAGAAAAAATCGACAAAGAAATGGAGAGACTTGAACAAACTGGGATTCTTTCAAAAATAGAGTTTAGTGAATGGGCAGCACCGGTAGTTTATGTAAAAAAATCAGGAGAAATCCGCGTATGCGCAGATTTTTCGACGGGGCTTAACAAGGCTATAAAAGACCATCATTACCCACTACCGAGCCCAGAGGAGATATTTACAAAGCTCAACGGCGGTAAGATATTTTCAAAAATAGATCTAAGTGAGGCTTATCTACAAATCCCAGTACAAGAAGAGAGTACGAAAATCCTTTGCATTAATACGCACAAAGGGTTGTACAAATTCAACAGACTACCATTCGGAGTAAAAGTTGCACCAGCAATTTTTCAGCAGACGATGGACACAATGCTCACGGGCCAGAATTTCACGACCGCTTATCTGGATGACATTCTAATTAAGAGCGGCAATGTTGAAGAGCACATATCACACATAAAGGAAGTTTTCAGAAGACTTCAAGATTTTTGGGTTCAAAGTAAAAGGAGAAAAATGTGATTTTTTTCCTAAATGAAATTAAATACTTAGGTCAGATAATAAATGAAAATGGCAGGAAACCGGACTCAGAGAGGGCATCGGCAATTAAAAATATGCCTGAACCAAAAAATGTTGCAGAACTACAAAGTTTCCTGGGCCTAGCTAACTACTATGGCGAATTTATTGATAATATGCATAAACTGAGGGCCCCACTAAACGAGTTAATAAAAAAGGAGAATAATTGGAATTGGACAGAGGACTGTAAAAAAGCATTTAAGGAAATAATACAAAAATTAACTTCGGAGTTAGCATTGACACATTTCGATCCCGAACTCGAAATCCTTATTGCAAGTGACGCGAGCTCACATAGGCTAGGTGCGTGTATTCTACACAAGATGCGGAACGGTACAAACAAACCCGTTGCACACGCATCTAGATCATTATTACCGGCGGAGAGAAACTATTCACAGATAGAAAAGGTGGCATTGGGCATAATTTTTGGAGTAACTCGTTTTCACAGATATATTTATGGGAGAGATTCACGCTCCAAACGGACCACAAACCACTTCTTACGATTTTTCGGTTCAAAAAAAAAAAAAAAGGTACCAGTCTATACAGCGAACAGACTTTTAAGATGGGGGAACTGTGTTAAAACTACAATTTCAAACTTGAGTTCTTACCATCAAAGAAAATAGGACACGCATGGACTATCGCGATTAATACCTGCGAAACGAACCGTTAGAAGATTCGATAATTGCGGCATTACAAGCTGAAGATGAAATCAATAAGGTATTATGCAATACAATAAAGGAACTACCTGTAACGCTGCTAGAGACAAAACGAGAAGCAGAAAGAGACGAATTTATTCAGAATACCAAGAAAAAATAGAAGAGAAGGTGAGGAAATTAGCAGACAGTTTCTCAATCTGTGATAACATATTGCATAACGAGAGAGTAGTAATATCGAAAGATTTTCACTTAGGACATCCCGGAAAAAAAACGGATGAAATCACTTATGAGAAGTTTTGTCTACTGGCCGAACATGGACGATGATATTACGCAAATGGTGGAAAGTTGCAAAGGTTGTGCTGCTGCGGCGAAAGCACCACCCTCTATACAAAAGCCATGGCCTAAAGTCGACAGACCGTGGTCCAGAATCCACGTGGATTACGCAGGACCCATTGAGGGTTACTACTATTTAATAACAGTAGATAGTTTCAGTAAATGGCCAGAGGTTGCCAGATTTAAACACCCGACGACAGAAAATACCATAAACTGTTTACACGAACTATTCGCGAGATTTGGCGTCGCGGATTGTTTGGTAAGCGATAACGGCACACAATTTACCTCCAGTGACTTCAAAAAGAATTTTGTGAGACATATCAATAAAGGATATCAAGATAGCTCCGTACCACCCGAGGTCGAACGGACAAACTGAAAGATTCGTTGACACACTAAAACGAGCGTTAAAAAAAGCCGAGGATGTACCGACGATAAAAGCGATACAACAGTTCCTCCAAGTGTGCAGAATAACACCTAACGTGAACACGCCATCGGGTCTTTCACCAGCAGAAATGATGTTTGCTCGGAGAATAAGGTCTGTGTTTGACAAATTATTGCCAAACAAGAACAAAAACCAGTATACACCTATTGTACCCAAGAGATCATTTAAACTAGGAGAACGGGTTTACTTTAGAATGTTTAGAAACTTACTGGGAGCCTGGCACAATAATTAACAGATTAGGAAATGTGATGTACACAGTACAAGTCGAGAAGTTTCCATTCACATAGAAGAAATCCAATTTAGAAGGTCAAACAAAAAGAAAATTTACAAAATCGACCAAAGACGGGTCTAAGGAGGGGGCCAATACGCTCGCGTCACCCGCAGAAAAATGACGATTCAATGACTAGAGAGCAGATATATACGTTATTATTGCGAACCGCATTTCTGGATCTACTAACCGTATTACCAATTGTATTATTACGTCAATACATTTATTTGCTATATTTCATTCCTGCGTTTGTCATTCATTTGAGACCGGATTTCATCCCGGAATCCACAACAATATATATATATATATATATATATATATATATATATATATATATATATATTCGACTCTCCCGTCGTATTCGACGTATGAGGGTCAAGCAACTCATTTCCAAGGAACCGACAGCCAGACGCCGGCAGGTGGGATTTGATTATAGTGGTGAAGGTTTTGTGCAGAACCATCCACACTTTTTGAAGGGCCGAATGCAGAGACCTAGTGCACTACGTGTCACAAGTCCCCCAAACAACCCTCTGCAGCTTTTGAATTCAGATTTGTCATTCAGTTGCCGTCCAAGGCTATAAAACCCGGTCTGTCCTGCTATTTACCCATAGCTGGAGGGAGAAGAAGATTCATATTTCCAAGGGTATAATCACGTAAATGAATGTAATGGATTCGACTGTAATCCGAACTCGGCTCTCGATTCCTCAATCCAAGTCGCTAACCATTACTGCACCGTGCATATATATATATATATATATATATATATATATATATATATATATATATATATATATATATATATATATATAAAAATGGATGCATTTTAATCAGACATTTTTATTTGTTATGATCCAGAATGATGATATTTCATCATTCAAAAAATAAGATTGCCATTAGTGATGATAGAAAAGAAGGGTATTTCATCATCCTACCTTCATCATTAGAAAAATGATCCTTCTGCCACAAGAGAATCAGTAGAGTAGTGTAGACTAGGGTACCCAGAGTAGTAGAGAAGACAAGTAGTAGTAATAGTACAGACACTCATGTCTTTGTCGGCACTCCGTGAAGAGTGAAAACAGACGATTTCAAATACCATCCTCACAAATGAAATCCTTAGAACCAAACCAAATAAGCACTGACTTGTAAACAAAAGACACAATGAGAACATTTTACACACACCTACCAATATTCTGTAATTCACATCACAAAAAGAAAATACAAATTCTTGCTATTTATGTCAACACGTGTCTCAAGATTTTATTGTTTATGTTATTGTTGTACGTTTTAATTAATTTCAGTTTCAGTATAAAAAAAGTAAAAAAGGATTCCTCTTACACTACAAATACATGTAGCAATGGGGTGATTAAATGTTGTAGCATACCTACGGGCGATAATGGGTTTGACCATATTTGCATAAATATAGTATTAAATACTGTATGTTGGTCTGCAATTGGTGATTCATCTCCAGCTGTGCTGGTCAAACTCTCTGCCTCCTGGCAGAGAGGATCACCAGATGAGGCTATATCGAAGGACAAAGTCTCGTCTCCGGAAACAGTTACGCGGTCTACGGGAGAATTTTTGGCCGAGCCTACGGCCTCGGATAACCCGCATTAAATTCGGCCTTGTGCCACATCTGACCATGTGGGACAGTTGATAGATATCCTGCAATTGAAGATTCATAGTGGAATTCACTTGACTCACTTTTCGCAGTTGACTACTACTTCTACGCGCCGCTGGCGAATCTTATATGTGTTGTTCGTGTCCCAAGTACTATCATTCATTACTAACCTTCGTGTGACTATTCTATTCAGTAACCTTCCCTGGGTTACAACATTACTGTACCGACTGACAAACTTCCTGAACAAACACACTATTCACTTGGTGTGCCTGGTGTAAAACCGCAACGACTGATAAACTCCCTCAATTTGCTCAATAATCTCTTCCTGCGCCTCTGCTTTCTTCTTTACATGATTCTTCTTCAACGTTGCAGAAGATTCTGTCTGGAGTGACGAGTGTTCGACGTTTTTATGTCCTTTTCTGCCCTCCTTCATTTGCATGCGTGAATTCACTTTCCGTGGTTTTACGCGACCGCCCGCGTGAGGATACGTGACCATTCGCAATATAAGCTTGCCGTGGGCAGCCATGTTTTTTCCAGTAAAAAAAAGTAAACCTTTCACGCAGAACATATACGCTGTCGTTTTCGATCAGGTGGATGATTATTTTCGTTCCAATTTTCACTACACTCCCCCCTGATCTCATGATCACAAATATTGCATGGGGGTGGCGCTCGTTTCCTCTGGGTGCTTCTTCTCAGAGGTGTAGGGTGTTCTTCCGTCATGTTTCCTACATTCCCTCTATCTCCACTAATTTGGTCATTCTCATCTTCGGTATCTTCCTCAGACGCTGACTGTGCAGATGAATGTTGGCCTTCCGATCCGCAAGTCATTCTGACCCTCATTTCGCTACCAAACGATGTGTCATTTTCGTCTTCCCCCGTAACGGCTGATTCGTCGCGCCTGCGAAGGTCTTTCACATGGCGGGGTATGCCATTGACCAGCACTGTTTGAGGACGGATTACTGTCAACCCTTTTTTTGACAAATTTGGTAGTGCACCGGCCGTCCGGTGGTTTGACCCAAACAGGTTCCCCAACTTGGTATATGGTACTTCTGACTGCTCATACTGGTATATGCCATTTGCTGGTGCGCTAGACGGCGTTTCGTTATCTTTGAGTGTCGCATTATACCAGTACACAGCCTCCAGTATCGAGCACCACGACCTCGCATATATTCTCTTGACAGTACGGTGACACCTCTCCGCAATGCCGTTACCTTCTGGAACATAAGCACACCGAGCGGTATCGCATTCGTATACCCCATTCGTCTGTGAAGGCGAGGAAAGTTTGGCTGCAAAAAGTTGGGGCATTATCAGTTAGTATTTCAGCTGGTGCACCGCGTTCGAAGAATACGGACCTCAGTTCTCGCACGATGGCCGACGCATCCTGACACGCCAGTTGACGCCACACAGTGAAACGTGTCGACCCGCAATCGGTCAGCGCCAGAAATCCATTGCCACTGTAATGGGTTATATCCATACCAAGCCGATACCAGTTGTCTTCCACTTCGGTTCTTCCCTTTTTCCACCGGGCCGGAGCTGGGTTGATCGATTGGCATTCTTCACAAGTTTGTATTATCGATCTGACTATTGCTTTCATGGTAGAGGGGCATATCCTACGGCAGAAATAGGTTGTACGTCGGATGCCAGGATGTCCACATTGTTGATGTATGGTTCGGATTCGTTCAGGTGTTAATTGAACCGTCAGGGCGCCGCACATCAGAGGTGAGGAATCTGACCTGTGCCTTATCAAATTTAGCCATCTCTTCGGTACTAGAGTCAGCTCGTCTGCCAAATTCTGCTCCGACACAACAAAAGTAACATCAACTTGAAGGCCATACTCGTGGATTAGCTGTTGCAGGATTGTCAACCTTCTTCGAACCAGCATCTCGCTAGCCGTTTTGGTTCTTACTCTGGCTATTCCCGTCAGTGCGTCGGTTAACCAATGGTAGACGCACACGGAGTCTGTGTGCAGATGAACTGTTTTGGCTTGCCATTGCAGCGCAAGGTTGAGACCTTTCACCGTGGCGTCAAGATCTGCGAAATTTATATGCTGAGTGTCGTTCGTCGGACGAAGCCAGAATGCATCCTCACCATGTCTTTCCAACACCACGCCAGTCGCCAATGGGCTCGCATCAACCCATGCGTTAATCTCTTCTCCAGATACTCCCCAGTTACCTCGAATAGGGTCATCACGGGTGACCCTCGCCACTACTTCTTCCACAACTTGCCTGAGAGAGCCGTCGTCGATCGGGTCATCCCATCCCTTGGTCTTCGTGGTCATGCGTCTCTTTAGGACTCCGGCTATCACGCGCAGCCAGCCGCAAACAGGGAAGTGGCCCACCAACTTCCCACACAGGGAAAATACGGTGCGTCGTGTCATCTCAGCCAGGGTTCTGAAATTGCAGTTCCTCGCTTCCAACGTAAAGTGTCACGCTCCCCAGACCTTAAGACCCAGCACTTTAGCTCCGTGCTTTAGGCACTCAGGGTCTTTACAAGTTAAACCAAAGGATTCCAACTTTGTCATGACCTCGTCTGCAGATAATTCATTCTCATTTACATATATGTCATCAATGTAGGATGACGTCGCCTTCTTCATCTGTTCTTCTTGTGCCAACACTGTACTGACGATAGTCTTCATGATCATTGGTGCCACATTTAATCCGAAGCCCAACCGCGTGAGGCAATATCTTTGCCCCTTGATCAGTACCGTCTGAAATGCCCAGAGAGACTCGTGGACTTGTACTTGTAAGTAGGCCCTCCGCAGGTCAAGCAGTGCCACATTGACTCCTTGCTGACGCCACTCCCTCAATTTGGCTGTACATACGTCTGCATCAGCTGTGAAGGCATCCACGAGTTCGTTGAGCTCGCTGTAGTCAATCACTGGGCGCACCTTGCCTTTGCTATGTTGTACGACGGCCATTAGACGAATCAAACCCTTAGGAAGTCCTAGTCGTTCCTGGGGGTATGAGATCAACCAACCGTTCGTGATCCACGTTTGCTGTTCCCTCTCGTACTCTCCCCTGATGTCATCGGGTATCTTATATTCTGCAACCTGATTACGAAGTCGAGTTGGTGCGTCTTTCAGGGTCCATTTCCACTTGGCAGTCCATATCCTCTTATGATCAAAAGCGGCCTCAAAATCCGGTTCTTTGACGCAAAGGGCTGCACATGCTTCTTTTCCTTCAGAGTTTCACGTCTCCGGCTGGCGTGATTGTGACGCCTCCTAGTGCTCGTATCCCGTCAATTCCGATCAGTAGGTCGTAACCGAGAGGCCTCTCACGAGCCACTAAAACGTTAACTTCGGCATAACCGCCTCCATGAGTGAGGATCGACACGGTCCCGACTCCACAACATGCCCGGGACATTCCGTCAATTGTCCGCATTTCTACTTGCCGTTTACTCCATACCTTACATCGGTCAGCACTAACTATCGATCGGGAACATCCAGTGTCGACGAACGTTGAACATCGCACACCATCAACTTGCACGTTAACTACAGGCAATGCCGCATTTACTGACCAAGAGGGGGCGAGTCTCAGTGGGATCACCGTCGCTGTTTCTTTCACCTTAAATAGTCTGCAGACCCGTTCAGCTTTTTCGAACCATTCGACGATAGATGGACCCATGAGAGAGCCGTCAAATTCAGGAATTAACATCAGGTCGAACTTATCCATAGTTAACAAAAGCCGAAATAGCTTGATCCGGGTGCAAATCCGCGACAACTGACAAACTTCCTGAACAAACACACTATTCACTTGGTGTGCCTGGTGTAAAACCGCAACGACTGATAAACTCCCTCAATTTACTCAATAATCTCTTCCTGCGCCTCTGCTTTCTCCTTTACACGATTCTTCTTCAACGTTGCAGAAGATTCTGTCTGGAGTGACGAGTGTTCGGTGTTTTTATGCCCTTTTCTGCCTTCCTTTATTTGCATGCGTGAATTCACTTTCCGTGGTTTTACGCGACTACCCGCGTGAGGATACGTGACCATTCGCAATATAAGCTTGCCGTGGGCAGCCATGTTTTTTTTACCAGTCAAAAAAATAAACCTTGCGCGTAGAAAATATACGCTGCCGTTTTCGATCAGGTGATTATTTTCGTTCCAATTTTCACGACAATTACTTTAACAACTCTCAAATAATATCATGTCAGGATTACTACTACATCAATCCTAACTTACTTACCCTGTTACATATTACTTCAAACGTTACTATAGTGGATACTTCATATCTGAAATAGACGCTCCATTTTTACTTATTGAGCAATATATATTACGTCTATTGGCTTTAGATAAGTCTTAGTTAAGAGAAATGCGTTCCTCGGCAGGGAAAACGCATTCTTCTTTGTAGGGGAAATCCCCCGTTTGTTCCAGTGTGCTTTACCGCTCAGCCACGAAGAACTTCGCAGCAAAATGTCTATTTTGCGCTTTCCTTAAGAAGGGGAAATAGAACCTTGCTTGTTTCAACGTTTTTCGTGGGTGAGCGGTAAGGCACTCTGGATCAAACAGTGATTTCCCCCACTACCGGTCAACGCATTTTTCTTTAAGAATTCTCGAATGTACAGACCGATAGGCGTAAATGTACACTGTTTAAATAATAAATAAAATGGTGCGTCTATTTTAAATAAGAAGCGTTTAGAACATTTGAAGCATAACTTGACGTATTTAAATATGTGCAGAATTTTGGTAATAAGAGTGCTCAATAGAGCAATAATTATTTAAATGTTTATAGTCTTGTTGTCTGACCATGATCAACAGGGTCGGCGCGTACTACACCCGAACCCCCAAGACCTGAGGGTGTCCAAGCCTAATTGGGGTCCTGAGCTTTGTGACCCTCACTCTCTTATCAACATTTGCCTTTTTATACCGACATGTTACAAATTAAACTAAGCATTAAATTTTTAACATCAACATTTAAACTATTTTAAGGATGACATTTTAGTGGATTTTGACTATTTTTTTCGTTCAAATTCAGTATTATTCAACTTTTATTTAATAAGAAAAATCTCAAGTTGATGTTAAAAATTGCCTCAAAAAACATTGCTGATTTATTTAAAAAGATTGAATAATCTATATTTCTATCGATTTGATTCTTTGTAAATTTTCAATTTTTCTAGTTGCATTGTTCAACTATATTACATATGATCCATTATTGTACATAATTAGGTTACTTGTGTAATATAAAATTTGCATTTTGCTACCTTTTGAAAATTGGGATGTAGCAGACAATAGATGTCAGTATCGTAGATTCGATGGGAGCAGACAAGGACCTGATGATAAATGACTTCATGAAACTTAGTTGGTTACTAATAAGCATTTTTATATTCGTGCAGAAGAAACGCACAGCAAGTGATACTGAATTAATAACACGTAACCTTTCTCAATAGATTCAAATCAAAATGTCTCTAGAAATACATTTTTTAATTAATTAATAAAAAAAACATTCCTTAATCAATAGACATTTTTAAACAATGTTTTTAAAACGGACCACTAAAATAAATATAAATTCACTTTCACAATCACTTACGAAATCCGAAAAAGCTTGGAATTTTTTTTAAAATTATATGGCTACACCTTGCTGATTATGAAATTAGTTTAACGTTCGTTTCAGGCTCTCCTATTTTATTTGTCCTGGAACGTCAGCGGTTGCAGTGAAGTATTATTAGACGACATTAAAAGTTCAAGGTTTTCCTGACAACTTCTTTCTGAAGGACATTGTCAAGGTCGATTGTTACAATGGCGGACATGAAAAGGGCTGCGCTGACAAATGAAAAATCCTGGAATGATCTCCAGGATTACTACAACAACCATGGGAAAAACTTGCGAATGATTGATATGTTCAGTGAAGACCCTGATCGTTTCAAAAAATTCAGGTAAAAGATTGTTACACCTTTTCTTTTTATTGCATTCATCAACCGCCTCATTCTCCATCTTTATAACAGCAGACGACAATATGGCTTACCATCACGTAGGCACAACAAAATCAAATACATATTTGCTTATTAGTTTCTTGCCAATTAAGTTTAATTTTGTTGCTATTATTTTACTTATTGTAAATGTTTTTGTGGGTTTTTTTTTTAAATTTTATGCGTTTTTTTCTTTTTTAAGGATTTTTAAAATGCGTTCCAATATTTCTCTAGTTTTTAAAATCTTCCGAACAGAAGGTTCAGGATTTTTTTACAAGTTTACATTTACTGAACTAAAGTAAAAATACTTGAAATATTTTATTTGTAAAGAATTAAACTTTTAATTTTTCTCTGCCCCCACCTTATTTTTTTAAATTTGACTTTTGATGCCGTAAAAAAAAAAATTTTTTTAATTTCCAAGTTAAAAAATAGCAAGCTTTCTGCTTTATCATATTTTTTTTTTAAATTTTTCAGAAAGTATTTTAAAAATACATTTTTTAATGAAAATTCTGCGTAAAATTTAAATTTTCGATTGTAAGAAAAAAAAATCTTTAAATTTCCTTCTTCATAGAAAAAGCAAAGATTGAAGAACCGGTAACAAAAACTTAAATTAAATTTTAATCTAAAAAAAAATATCAAACAATTTTTTTTGGGGGGGTGTTTTTTGTTTGTAAGATATTTTAAATTTCAGTGTTTCATTTTTTTCCTTTATTAAATAATAAAAATCATTTTCCTTCAATTTTCTTTTAAGTAAAAAAGAAAAATTTATTCAACTGCTAACCCAGAAAAAATAAAATAATAAATTTCTCTAAAATTTTCTGTTTATTCTTTGATATTTGCTTTAAGAAGAAATTGGTCATCATTTTTTTTATTCTGCTTTATTTGTTTAAAATAGTAATAAAAAAAACACATTTTTTTTAATCTTTATTCCTGAGGGGATAAAATTGTGTGTTCATAAGATTAGACACGTTTCAAAATCCTGTCAGTGTCATATCTTGTCAATGTCGAAGTGAGACATTTTCTCTAAGTCTATCGAGACTGAGCAAAATAAAAATAAAAAATTTATCTGCTTCCCTTTTTAATTTTAAATTTTATCCATTCATATTTTTTGTACAATTTCTGCGATTAAATTTCAATCGGATTGTTCTTCCTTCAGAGTTTAAACTTTAAGAAAAACAAATCCTTCCTAATCCTGAAATAAAAATCACTTCGTCAATGAAAAGATTTTTATTAAAACTCATAAAAAAAATTCTTTTTTTTGTTAAGTGTTTATTTTTTGGTCCTTCTCTTTTTGTTCACATAGAAAATAAATTGTATTTAAAAACAATTTTTTTTTTTACTTTTTGTCTACTTTCCGCCATAAACTTGCTTAAACAATAAATGTATTTTTTTTTTTTTTTTTTTTTTTTTTTTTTTTTTTTTTTAGACTTAAAATTAAATCCTTAAGATTTGTTCATTTGGCATAATTACTTCAGTTTGGTTACGAAACTGCCAAAAACACCAAAATAATAATAATAGTATTTTGCCAAATATTAAGAGTTTATTTTCAATCATTTGTTTGTTTAATTAATTAAATTGTCTTGGTTGGAGCTTTTACTGAGTAAAATGTTTAGTATCAAAGTGTTTACCAAACAATTTCAAAATAGCACTGAAAAATTCCAAGTAAATAAAAGTAATTAGTAATGTTTTGTAAAATTACGTATAGGAATTTTAATACAAACACAATGTTATAAAAGAAAACTTTTTAAATTTTTTAGATTTTTTTCTTTCGATTCGGCACGAATTTTTCGTATGTTCACATTTGATATTGAAATAAAATCATAAATGTATATTCTTCGGGGATTTTTTATGTCTGAATTTTTCTTCCGTGAATTTGGTAAGGTTTGTTTGCGTTTAGCATTATGCAGGAAATAATTCGGGTATTGGAGTAGTTTGAAGTTTTCGACATATTTAGTTCTTTGGGCAGGAATTGGAGGCTACAGTCTAAAAGAGCTCTTAAATAGAAAAATCTGATTCATTCCAACCTCGTATACTTTTTCAACCAACATAAAATAAAATCCGGAATAATTAATTATAGGCTTTATTTTTCTTTTTAATTTTTAAAAACCTCTTCTGTAGACCCTAATTCCTGCCCGTGTGAAATACATCGAAAACATGTTCAAATTCCTCTAATACCCGATTTATTTCCTTCAAATTCCTCTAATACCCGATTTATTTTCCAAAATGTAAAAGCTTAACTAAAGGTAGGGGAAATTAGACGCCTTCCCGCACCCCGGAAATACAAAAAAAAAGTACACACAGCGCGATATAAAAAAAAAAAACCGGGTGCATGAAACATAAAATTAAAATATTTTCCCAAAGTTTTTTTTTTTTTTTTTAATAAAAAAATAACCTATTATTCAGTAACAACAAACTAAGTTCTGAAAATTTCGTTTGACTCCCAAAATTCCCAGATTTTTTTTGGCAAATATTTTAAGGAGTATCGATTTTTTTTTTTTTTTTTTTTTTTCTTTCATTTCGGGGAAAAAACTCCTGATGGTACCTTGTCTGGAAAAACAGGTGGCTTAAAAGTTTTCTCTTTATAAAATTTATTGAAGTCTTGTTTTTTTTGTAATTTCTAGTCCACTTTTTAACATTCTCAGTTGTATTTGTGACTATTTTCCGACAGTTACACAAGTCATAAAAAGGAATCTTTCCTATAATTTAATTTTTTTTCCCCTAATATTTACTAGTTTGCATAGATGAAATATCACGCAAAAAGAGTACAATTTAAGAACTGGGCCCTGACTTTGTGTCATAATGTTCAACTTTCAGTCTAAACAAACTATGAAACTGTGCTCTGACTTTGTATCCACTAACATAAAACCTCTAAAATCAATGCAGGTTTCTGTTCTAATTCACTCTACATTTGAAAGTTTGGAACAGTGTTATCAGAAAGTATTGAAATATTTAACTTTTGGGTCATCTTTGAGACCAATTTGACGAAAGTGAGATAGCAACCTTCACAAATTGCTGAATAGATTATAAACTTAAAAAGTGAAAAAAAAATACCAAACAATTTACACTATGAAATTGACTATAAAAATTCAGTAAATTTCTACCCCCCTTTTTTCTTAACTCATTTTAATCGTTTATACAGATAATTCAATAAAATCAAAATACAGAAAAAAAGAAAAACTTAAACTCAGATGAAGTTCAACAGACTCACTTGTAAAAGTAATTTAACATTAAATTGAACATTAGATAAAATATCTGACAGAAAAAAAAGTGCTGGTTTAAGGACCTAGCTTATGGTATGAATGAAAGGATATTGGCTTGGAATGATAAATGGGAGAGCAGAGTTGAATTCATTACATTTACTTACCCTGGGGAAAGGTACGAATCCATCCCTTCTCCCTCCAGCTATGGGTTGAATAGCAGGACAGACTGAGTTCTATAGCCATGGTTGGCAACTGGTCTACAGCAGAAAGAAATGTCAGCCTACTGTGAGAAAAATCTTCTGCCTAATCAGTCATGGATTGAAAGAGACATGATTGCCCAAGTGTGTATCATGTATGGCACTTGACCAACTTACTCAAAATGAAATTTACAGACCATAGAAATAGGTAGCGCTAACAAATGGCTAACATTGATTAAACATGTAAAAGTTATAAAGTTTTTTTTAAATAATTTCAATGTGGATATGACATTAAAAAAACTTCATAAGTCCCACATTTGAATTCACCAATCTAATTTAATATCACTATATCTTGAGAGAATGAAACGTTTGAATTTAAGTGTCAAAATTCTTAAATACAAAAGAATACAAAAATTTTACAACTCAAAATTTAATACACCAAAAAGAGTACCTGTACAAAATGCATGCATTTGACTACATCATTGACAAAAAGTTTGTTTTTAATATAAATCTATGAATATTTGATAAATTCTGACATGAAACATTTTGTATAAATTTCTGACATTTTACCAGGTTTATTTTGAAAGGTTTTTATCTCTGCACACCTGACCTCTCAGTGCATTCATTGTTTTATCACAAAGACAAACCAAAAACAAATCTCAAAATTTAAATTACATCTTAAGAACTGTTATTGTATATTAATATTAAAATTCAGAAATGTTATAAATAATTAAAAATAAACTATTTATCAGTTTTTAAGTTGCATCTGAAGATATAGACTTTGATTGAAAGAACTAATTAAGGGGTGTTTGTATTTGTCACATCTGATAAATCCCTCATTTCATAAAGAAGCATTTTCTGTAGAATTTAATGAATATAGTTAAATCGGGAGCAGTCAGCAGACAAACGACCAATGTTACATAAAACTGTATAAACTGTATGTAGGCTTTATTTCTGTGATGAGAAGTTATCACTATTTATATGCTGACATTGTCCCTATCTTTGTTGTTTTTATCATGTTTCAGCTGTTGTACCCTCTAGCTGTCATCATCAGGCAATTGTGAATTCTGGTAACCTTCAGAGAACCTTTTATTTATGGAAGTAGATTGTTCTTGTTTCAGTATCCATGTCCAGGGATATCCTGTCTAGTTCTTATCTCAGTTATTGCTCGTCTCATTTCCACAGAGTTCACAGGATTGAACTCACAATTATGATGTCACCAAATTCATGAACCAACACTTTGATCCACAAGTCTATAGTCCATTAAGATAATTCTGAATGGAGATCTTGGAGCCTTAAACCTAACTGCTGATGAGTGTTGCTTGTCACAACTGCACTCACTGAGACTTCCTTTTTATTGCTGCTGCTGCTATTGATGCTTTGCTGTGACTTCTCTGAAATCTGTTTTTAAAAATAGCTGCAATTGATAACATTTTTCATTTATTACTAATAAAGTTAACATGTACCTTGTAACTTAATACACAATAGATAATTGCTTTGTTATAGTACTTTGTTCATAGGAAAAGTAAAAAGTCAGTTTATTATGGCCCATGTAGTCCACAAGTGGTTC